TCAACAGGCAAGAGCGGGAATGTCCCCTCTTCCTTTTCGCTGTGAGCCATAGAAGAAAAGTTTATTTTAACATATGGAAAATAAATCACTGCTAAATTCAGTCCAGTGCTAACAGTGTATGGTATAAAGGAAAGCTAACGGCCTCTCCTGTTTGAATGTGTACCTCTGGGCACATCTGTAATGATCCCTGAGCCAAAGGCACCGTGCACAACGTACATGGCCTGCTACACTCACAAGTTTTAAGACCAATTTGTCCATGTAGATTCTTGGTTTGATTTCAGCTTTCCTTACTCACATGAGTAATGTCAGATGGATGAAGGTATCAACGGGATTATACTGAAAAGCTTTGCAGTGTAGAAGAAACCAAGGAATCGGTGGATTTTAGTAAGACCAGGATGAAAACTTGGTTGAACCCAATTTTGCGGTAATGTTCTTCGGGATCACCACACGTGTTCCTAGCCCTCGGCTGATTCCTTCCATCCTCCCCCATGCAGGTTCCATGACAGCTCCTGCAAGGCTGTAGTGCCTTTCTTTTCATAGATCTTCACTGAAACAAGTTTCTACTTTGCTGTATCACTTAGTAGAGTTTAAGTCAAACAGTTTGTATTATCTTTACTTGGGAAGTCTCACCGAATAGTGGCAGTGCTGCTCAGTTGTGACAAAAGGACATAGTTTTGTGGTTTTACCCTATGATGCCGATATGGTGCTGTCCTCTAGACACCGTGAAATGTATGAATATCCTAAGGCAATTATTTGAGATAGTTACTCCTTGGCTTGTGATTACGGCAAACGGCACTGTTGACTGCCTGTTCACAAGGCTGCACGCGGTAAAAGGGGCTACTGGGGCACCTGATGGAAAGCCTTCATCGTAGCACCTGCTCTTGCTGTGATCCATCAGAGTTCAAACCTGATTTTCAGATTCTATCAAAGGCATCTCCAGTTGCTCGGCTGTTTAAGCTTGAACCACACTTCACCTGAAGAGAGGTGGGCAGGAGTTTTTTGGCCTATCCTGCTGTAAAACCTTGGTTTTGACTGCGGCCGTCTTCAGAAACAAAACTGCTGACGACTGTAACAAATAGGTTTGGTTTTAAAAGTGTCTGTAATTGCAGCGTTGCGTCATCTCCATAGTTATTTTAAAAATTCTCTTTATGACTTTACATTATTAATAACGTATCTACAGAATTGTCTAAAAAAAAATAATCCTTGTTTTGATCTTCATTGCAAACTTTATCATTTCCTGTCGTAATTGGACCAAGTCCTCAGCTGGAGTAAACTGATGTCACTTTTATGCTGTTAGTTCTCTTCATGTTATTGGCACTATTGTCACCAGCTGTCACGATAAGATATCCACAGTGTGTCAGTAGGGAAGAATCTCTCTTTTGAAGGACAAACTAGATAAAATGACACAAGAAACGGAGAGTATGTGCTGTGTGCTGGTTGGAGGCACGCTATAATGAGCTGGAAACTCAATTGTTTGCTCACAAATATGCCATATGAAGCACGGATGAATTTAAATGGTTGCTACCTAAAATTCTACAACTAAATTAGCCCTGGAAGACAGATTATATGTGAATTTGTTAAAAAGCAGATACGCAAATGCTACAGATTAGAACAGGAAAGTTTTGTTTGATGCTTTCCTTCTCCAGACTTCCAAGTGTGTCTCCAAGGCTAGTGTCCCTGTTGGCATTTTAAAAATAGGCAGAGAAGCCCAGAGGAGGAGCATGCCAGTGTCCCTCAGCTGCACAACGGCAGAGAACTTAGGCCTCCTGAATGGCCCTGCAGCGTCAACAAGAGAATTTAAACAACTAATTTAAATTATGAAGAAACACTCATAAAACAGATTACCTAGTAGAGGTGAAAGTAAAGAAACCTGGTCTTGAAGAGATGTAGCTTGGTGTGCCATCGAAATCATGGGTCGGGAAATAGTTCACAAGAATCTGTGGTATCCAAGGGAACTTATTTGTATGGACTAACACACGCAAATCCTATTAGCACAAGAGTTACTTAAGCACATCCTCCCAAATTGATATTAGACTTAGCTCGCTGCACACGTTGAGCAGCGCAGCAGCAAGGCGAGCCACGTTACTGTCATTCTGAAGTCATATCCTAATCATAGAGCCACTCCATCAGTGCAGCTCCCAAGGCAGTGTGGCCCTCCAACGGAGAAAGCGGGATGAGGTCATGTGTGGCCCCACTGACTTCATTGCAAGTGGCAAGACAAAGGTGCCCCGCGTGCTTCCGAGGTAATGACTCTAAGGATGCAATTGGCCGAGAAATATAATCAGCCTTTGAATGCCATAAAAAGTACTAATGTATTCGTTGCTGTTTGAATAGTATTTCGTATCACACCCCGTGTGAGATACCCCTGACGGAGAATCTAGAGCTGTTGCTGCTAATTAAAATGCTGCGTGGGTACAGTATCTTTGCCCTAATGTTAACCTGGATTGTTCTTGTGCACAGTAACCTTAAAATACATCTTATAGAGTATATGGTCCTTCACATCACACATCTCTCTCGCTTTCCTGTTTAGGGTAAGGCACGCAGGCTTGATCTCCTCTTGGTTGTGAGCACCAAATTTGACTTACAGCTTTATGGCACATAGGTTTTACCCCTTGAATAATGGCCTTTGTTTCTCTGAAGGGGAACCGAGAGCACACCCCGACACAGAGATCTTGGGGAAAGAGAGAGAAATGTAGGGAGCGGATACTTTTTCCTTATAGCCGTAGAAGGATGAGCTGTGTCAGATAGTCTAGGTTTCCACACGTGCTGCTAGGGAAGAAGAAGAAGAACAAGGAGACAACCTGAGCAGGAGTGGTTATGTTATAATATTTCATGGTGTTTGAGGGGCTGAGTATTTTTATCCTTTAGACACAATGCACGCCTTGTGTGCAAGTAAAATTCACCCTTTTCAAACCTGTGTGATTTTTATCAAAGTATATTTTCAAATGTAAACATATAACCTGTTTAAATTTGAAGTTTTTGGTTATCCTTTAAATGAGCTTTATAATTTGGATGCCATTCAACACTTGACTGTGTTCCGAAACCAACGATGAATTTGCCCTATCCATCTTAGCCTTGTAATGGATAGATAGAACGTATTAAGAGTTATCACCTCAAAGACAGATCAAAGTCTACTTCCTTTAATATTGACTTTCTTTAAAAGGACCTAAATATAACCTGCTAGCTAAATAATTCAATTTTGGGAGGGGGGGAAGGAACTGAGTGCATGTTTATACAGCAGACCACAATAACTCCACAGTTTTATGATTTGTTGGAGAAGGAGAAATCCTTCTCACATTTTCTGTTTAAGGAAACGTTACTCTTAGACTAAATGAGCCCAAACCTGTCAGCCATCCAAATGGACTCTTCACTGACATAAGTGGCAAACACTTGCATGGATCACTGACAGGAACAGCTCAGCTCAAGGAACAGAAACAATGAGCTAATCTGAATAAATGGTCCATTTTCAGATGTTTCACAATGCCACGCAGGGTGGTTTTTACATTCCCTACTTGACTCACTGTGTTTGATTATCAAAGGTGTTGAAAGATCGGTAACTCACACAGGGCTTTCAAATTTAGTCATCTTGTTCTCTTGTTGTTCTTTCCTTAAATATCTCTAAGTTTTGGAAAATGCACATTTCGGCGTGTGCACATGTGATAAAACATACGTTCAGTGAATGCTAGATGTTCTCGGGAGTTCCAGAGCAGAGTGGCAATGCTGTATCTCTGCATTTCATGAGAATGCAAGGAATGAGGTAGTAGGGCCATATCCTGCCATTTGTCCATACGTAACTAAACGGTGCCTGGAGCCAGTCCAGTCCACAAGGTTTCCCAACAAGCTAGAAGCCAGGCACGGCTGCTGTACGACTGCTCAGGGCTCTTCTAGCTTCTGGCCTTGCTCACTTCTTCTGCTCTCGTGAAACACTCCTGTTTCCTATCACGCTAAGCATCATTTGACTGGTTTTCTGCATATACGTTTTAGATGGGGAGGAGGCAGGAAGATCTCAAGGCTGGAAACCACAGATCCCAACTGCAACTTCTGGATGTGGAATGCCGTACCGTGAGTGATTAGCTTTCAGTGATGGCTCTAAAAATGGCTCTACCTGTGTTTGGAAGACTCTTACTCCCTCTTTCTATTTTAAGTGCTGGGGAATCAACACACATTGAGTAAGCTGCACCGCTACATGTTTTGCAGTACAGGGGTATAAGAGTTTTAACCTCAGCTGTGTTTCCTGAGGTATTTCTGTTTGTCATTATTCATGCTTGTTTTAAGAATTTTGATATATTTTGTACAATTGCAATAACTGGAGGAAAAAAAAAAAAAAGGAAACTGGAAATGGGATCTTCTGCCTGTGGATTGGAACAGTTTTTGTAAATGCTCTGACATCTCCAACCAGAACACACCCGTTCCTTCTGCTGGGAGAGAGGGCACTAGACATAGTTGCTACAGAATAACTATTTAATGTGGTGGAAATCTCTTCTAATGAGGCTGATTGCGGGACCTCAGTCCCAACAGGTAGAGACATCAGGCCAGTATCAGTGTTGAGGCATCTGCACCCCAGAAATGTAATTCTAACCCTGCTCAGCATTCGGTCTCTGACCACTACCTTTAACCAGAACCAAACACCTCCTTCGCATCCTTCAGTACCCGAATAAGGCTGCTGCCCTGTGCTCACCAACGGAAGATCTTTCAGGAAGGATTTGTGAGAGCTGGACAGTGAAATACTGTGGTGGAAGCTAACGCGTGTGGAAGTGCTTTCCTGAGCTGCAGCAAGGGCCATGGCAGGTACCCTGCTAGGAGGAAGCACAGATGTCCCTCACGTTGGTAAGGACAGTCACACATTGGAAGTGCCGGTCCTGCCCTGGCTGGCACGAGCTGTGTGAGCTAGCTGGTCTTTGCCAACGCCAACAGCTGTGCCCCGTCACACTCCCCGTGTGCCCCCGTTCTGGTGTCATGCAGGTGGGAGCCCGTCAGTAGCGAGCAGAGAGGCAACGTACCCACTTTCAGCTCCTTCCCGAAGACGGTCCTCTCTCCCAAGGCAGAGCAGTTCCAGCGCCCGTTGCGAAACTGGAACTGGCACTCGTTGATGCCCATCTGGGACCCTTCCCCGATGACGATAATAGCGTCGGGCCTGCTCTGGCAGATTGCCCGCTGCCGGGGGGCAAGACCCGGGATCTTGTTACAGATGATGCTGGCTCCCAGGGCCACCACAGAGGAAAAACCCCTGCAACGACAAGACACCGGGGGTGGCTGAGGGGAGGCTCGTCCCAGAGGCGGACGCATCACCCCGCCGCCTTCCAGCTTTGGCCGGTGCCCCCGGAAAGCACCCGCCTTTTCCCCCCTGTCGCTTCCCTCTCCCTCTCCCTCTCTCCACAGCCAAAGCAGAGATAAGGAGCACGTGGGCTCCTGCCAAAACGGGACCAAACTTCCTCATTCGTAAATTAAGCGCGTGCAGCGGCTTTGCGTGCCTAGGCCACGCACGGGCAACGGGCTGGGAGGGTATTCCCTCTCCCGGTGAACGGTTTGAGGGATAGAAGGGGGGAATAACCCTCGTTCTGTCCATTCCTCCCCCTCCCCGGGCAGCGGCTTCAGCGCTAGAAGGGGGGAATACCCCTCGTTCTGTCCATTCCTCCCCCTCCCCGGGCTGCGCCGCCTCC